CATCAGACGTAAGCTTTCAGAAAAACAAAAATTACAAGTAACACAAAAGGCAATGGGAAGATGCATGGAGGCGTGTAGACTGCTGCATATTACCAGTGATCATCTGTACAGCAGATATGGCATAAGGCAGAGGTGTCAGACTCACTGGTGGCAAGCTGCTGTAAAACTCCTGAGTAAAATGTAATTGGTAAATGTTTAACAAAATAAATAAAATTCAATGCAACATAAATAATGTTAACTTGTGGTTTTCTAAGTCAATATGCAGCCAGCAAGGATCTGGATTTTTTTTTTTTTTTTTTTTTTAGTTTGACACCATTGGTATAAGACATCATTGAGGATGAAAAGGAGGGAAGTGTGTGTGTGTGTGAGAGACAGAGAGAGAATGAATATGTAACAATAGATAGCTCAAGTGGCTCATGAGTACCATTGAAATGTTAAAGAACCATGTCTCCAAGAAGCTGTGAGTGGATCTAAAAATTTTATGGAGAGTCATGGCTAGGAATAGGACAAGATGAGAAGGTAGCAGAGAAGCTTCATGATATCTTTTAGTAGAGGGAACATCCATATAGAACCATGTTGATAATGAAACCATAGATCCAGGAAAGCCTATACAATGTATTTAGAATTAGCAGTCCATGTAGTCCATTCCATGCAAGACATATAGGACTTTTCCCATAGTTAACACTTAGTGCATGAGTGACTCCAGGGCAGGGGTTTGCTAGGAGTCAGCTCTGATTGTTAAATTTTCCTTGTGAGCATTTGCACTTTGGAAATCAGCAAATGCCGGGAATCAGAGCTTGATTTATTGTTTTATTGATTGTATAAGAAAGTGATGGAGAAAATGTTAGTAATGCAAGTTAAAGTTAAAAGTGTGTCCTCTATACATTCCCCCTCAACCCCCCTGAGAACTGGTTGTTTAAACATTTAGTGGCTGCCCCTGCCCCAGGGCTATGGGGGGAAATCATATTTTTAAGAACATTCACGTATGATTCACAGGAGGCTCCCAGAATCCTAAGATGTTGCTGTTAAGTGGTTTTGCTTAATTTCTCTGGGAATATTTTGTAACGGGCTGGTTGGGTATCTATTTGAAAGTGGTGAGTCAAAACAAAACATTATCCATAAATTAAAAAGAAAAAAAGTAGTACTGCTGAGGTCCAGGAGGCCCTCTTCTTGTGTGTAACTTTTCCAACAGTTGACCCCAGCTATCCTTTACCTCTGATTTGTAAACCTTAGAGTGTTATAGAAAGGAGGGTAGTGTTATTGCTGTGGTTTGGTGTAATTAATGTTTCCAAAGCTACATCAAGTTGCTTATCTAGATGAGCAGAGAGTGTCTGAACCATAAAAAGCACAGTATAGAACAGTTGAGTTGTGGCAGCAAATAACAGAAATATAAAGTGTTGTCACTAAATGCACATGTTGATATTAAAAAGGAAAGTCTATTTATTTAACAGTGACAAAATGGTAATCACATCTCAACCCTAAGCTAAGGTAGCTAAGATCGTGCGTAACAAAGTGGTGAAGGCTACCACTCTGGAAAATAACCACCAAAAGAATGGGAATAAAGGTAGAGGAGAGAAACTGCCATATGTGATAGTGAGCACCCTTGTACAGGAGTGATTTTTTCAAAGGTAAAAGGCTAAATATCTACCTATTCCTGGGGATCTGTGCCTCATAGAGAGTCAAGAGTTGACTGAACTTGACAGTGTCATCACTGGGTAGTTTGAAAACGCTCTCTTGAGCTGCTGTGCTGTGGTGGAAGAGCTGGTGATGTCATTGTTTCTCCAGGATGAGAGGCCATAAATAATGGAGCTATGGCACTTATCACATCTGCTTTCTGGTAGCAGTCCTGAACTATGCGCTGTATGAATAGGGCCCATTAAGCCAACACTTGTCTCCTGTCCTCCCAGCTTTTCAGATCTACAATATGAGAATCAGATGAATCCTGTGTATTCTCACATCTGTCCATGTTTGTGATGACAGCGATGTTGTAGCGGCTCTCTCAGGGCATCATTGGATGCAAGTGTGATACTTAGTGAATTAGTTCTTTTGAGAGGGAGAAGGGAACCACAGTAGTGGGAGGTGGGTACAGTTTCTATGATTGAGGCTTTCTATAAGAGGGAGACTACTCATGTTATGGATTTTTTTTTTAAGCAAATGCCTTTTGCTCCATTTCTAACTTTCCATTACCCAAGATGATTTAAGCACTCTTGCCAGATCCTGAGGCTGCTTATAATAGGGTTAATGTGGCAAACAGAAGGACTATGTGTGAGAGAAGACATACATAGGATCCACTAGACTGTGTACACAAAAGAGATGTCACATAAGAATGAGAAAGAGAGGCTTTGTGATAGCAGAATGAATGCTCATCTTGGAGCCAGAAGACTTAGGTTCAAGTCACACTGTACTGCTTAACTGGTTGTGTGGCTCTGGGCAAGTCTTTCTGAGTCTTAGTTTCCTTGTGTCTGAAAAGGAGATGACATCTTACCTACTGCACAGAGTTGTGAGGAAAGGACTTAAAGTGCCATATGAATGAACTTATTTCTTCATTGTTAACATTAAACTCACAAATTCTTAGACTATCAAGAAGATATGAGTGCTTGGTTTGGATAATTAAAGGCAAACTTGACATCCTAAAGAAATATTAAATGTAAAGGTTTATACAATTCATGAAACTGTAGTACTAAAAGAAATGGGCAAAAGTAGCTTGTTCAGACAGTTGACATTCAGCAAGAAGTCTCTTCAAGGAGATTTAGTGTGAAGGATCTGGATGGATCCTTCTAGAATGGCCCAGCTCCTACAAATCATTGTGTATGCAAAGAACAGAGAAAATTTCCTTGTCTCAGAAATGGAAATAGATTTTCAAGGCACTCCTCTTGCTAGATAATCCATTTTAAGCAGCAACAAGTCATTTGGTATAGAAAAATGAAAATGAGAGTGAGCTGTATAGGAGCTTCTAGAAGTTGGCCAAGTTTATTTCTGTCTAAGTAACTCACCTTGACGATGATGATGGCATTGGGTTGTCTTTGACAAACGTGGTATCTTCCAAAAATGTTTCTGGACAGAAGCCAAACAGAGAAAGAGAATTGCTGCTATTTTATATGAACTTCTGCAATAGGTACACAAACTTGATTTTTCATGTGCGTCCTGGAGAAAGCTGAGAAACACTGTCTATTTAAGGAACGGAACATTCAGCCTCATCCGTCTGTTATTTCCATCAGAATCATGCAGAGGTGGATTTGTAAGCACTTGCAGAGTGCAGTCCATCTCTTATCCTTGAAAAACAAAAGTAGCCCAATCACTGTGCTCACCGGTGTTACAGAAGCACAAAATACTTAGGTGCTCAATAAATGCTTAATCTGTTTTCAGCCAGAATGATAGCATTCAAAATGTAGATTTAAACGCTTTCTAGGTAAAGAATAAATATTATTTGATAAGTCTCTGATGAATTAAAATGACGAGTAGGCTGAGATAAAATAATGGTGAAATGCTGGGGATTTTTAAAAAAGTTATTTTAAATCATTTAAAGTAAATAATTCAGTTCATGGAGCCCTTTAGTTCCCTTCTCGTTTTAGATCTATGATCCTTTGGGCTAGTGAATCTTAAACTGAAGTGATATTACCAAGGAAGTTTTGGAAACACACGGATGAAAATGTTTTAAAATGACTTTTAGATGAAAGGTATCATAGTCTCAGTTCAGTAAATTTCTATTCTCAGAGGATGGGAAATATTCCCCTAGAAGTGTTGAGTCTCTACTCCTGGGATCCAATGAAGGAACTCCTTTGAAACCTCTTTTGTCATCAATTCTCAGCATGTGGAAGGGAGTCTGAAAATACTGGCAGTGAGAAGAATGATGAGTGTGGGGAAGTTATAACTTCCAAATTATTGTCTGTAACTATTTATAATAAGCAGGTGGCCATAACGGACATGTGCAGAAATATATTTCATGTGTGTGCACCCAGGAAATTTATTTTTAAGGTGAACATTTGACTATTCAGTCATAAAGGGTATTCATTTTATTCATTAAAAAAAAAACTAAAGAAATTAAAACTGGACTGAACTTTTATTTAACACTCACAACAAAACTACTTATAAAGAAGTAAAAAAGTACAGATTATTTTTTGAGACATTAGGGTGCACCTGGGCATCCTGCAGGTCTGTAAGCATGTCTTTGATCAAAATAATAATAGCTAATAGCTAGCATTTATATAATGTTTTGTATTTATTAATATCTGGTCAAACTACCAGATGAGATACACACAGATATAGGAATTTAAGCAAAATACGGGAAATCACAGAACTGATTTTAGTGGGGGGCTTATTAGCTGCTCTGAAGATTCTTGTTACTATCAGCATTGGCAAAGTGACATAACCCTGTTCAATCCTATTCAGGAGGATTTAGGCTTTGAACTGCAGAGGACAAGCCTAGGAAATGCTGATGAAACAAAAGTCTTTAACACCATCTCCTTAGTTGTTCAGTATCTGTGTTTGTGACTGTGTGTTAACTTGTTAAATGTTAATGAGTCTTGCACATTAATCTTCCTGCCTTATGGCTTCATTATTTTTAGAGGTATGTGAATTACAAAGCCAGCTGCATGAATAATCCAGAATCAATTTGTTCTCCTTCATCAGAGTGGCTAATGGGAAATTGACTGGAAAACACTATAGATTTTGATTGCAAACCAGAGACCATGGTTTTACTGCCTCTACCTGGAAAAATCTGTCAGGAAAACATACCTTTTCCTGACCTACAGGCAGTCTCCCAAAGATAATTCTGTGGGGCGTTGAGAGTTTCACTGGGGTATCATACCTGTGCGTGGAACCCTCAAAGCCCTATATAGTAGAAGATATGATATAGGTGAAGTGAACTCTGTTTTACTGGATTCAAATTGGGTTAAACATACTACAATTCACAAATGTAGTGGGTTTGTCATTAGAGTCAACTTAATCTCATTGGGGTTGCTGGAAATGAAGTAAGGACCAAGTAAACAACTTTTTTTCAGGTGCAAATTCGACCATGGAACCTAAGTGACAGTGACTTTGTAATGGATGGCTCTCAGCCTTTGGACCCCAGAAAAACTATCTTTGTTGGGGGAGTTCCACGACCCCTTCGAGCTGGTGAGTGGAAATAGTAAAAAACATTTAGTCTTAAATATTTTCCAGGTTTCCCCATCTGCTGTATGCAGCATCTAAAAAGAAGGCTGTGGGTTTGTCCACTTTCTAAAGCAGGCCGATTTGGCCTGGCTGCCTGTCTGCCTGCCCGCCTGCCTCAAGATTATGAGTTTGACGCCTGTGTCTACCATTTTCTATGGCACAAGAATGAATTTCCTGAAATCATGTTTAGTTATTTAGTGAATGGATGTTTTAAAAGTATGAATTCTGTTTACTGCTTACTTATAAAGTCACATACTTCTTAAGGAAGTTACAGTCTGCACAGCTTCTCAAGATGATGGGTCAGCTGCATTATCCTAGATGGGAGAGGATGTAAGTAATGAGCTATGGAATAATGCTGAGTGTTCTATAGCACCTGGTCGTCTACAGTAGTAAGCCTTCGTACTTTATAAAACATTCTGTCTTAGGAAATCGGATTTGAAACTCTTACTAAGTAAGTTTGTTTTTTGTTTCTGGGACTTGAGAAGTTTACAAAAAATACTTTTATTTCTGAGAATTTTAATTTTGGTTTTGATTTCGAGTTGTAGCTTTGGATTTTTGTTTTTTTTTTTAATTTTCAATGGTGAAATGGTTTTCCTGTGCTTAACTGTAATTATTGGTAGGGTCAGTGAATTGATGCTGAAATGATATATTTAAAATTTAAATCCTTAAAGCAGACTTAATAAATAATAACCCTAATCAGCATTAGTTCATGGAAAATAATTACACTAAACAACTTAGCTCTTTAAAACGTATTTTTTCTAAAGCACTTAATGGTAATATCCTTTGTGCACAAAAAAAAATTATGCAGGAAAAATAACATTGATGAAATATGCATGTAGTTGCAAGAAATGCAAAAATATCCCCCTATCATATATATGTATATTATGTATCTATATACATATATAAACCCAAATATATATTTATATTTGTATATAGTTAGATTAGAAAACATTAAAATTTATTTAAAAAAATAAAAGCATAGTAAAATAAATTAAATTATGGAAATGCATCTCAAAAGCATCTATCTCACTTTTCTTTGGTCTCAGGACTTTCAACTGCTGTAATTCCGATAGTTCTGCTTAAAGACCCATCTTCCTGTGTCCTACCTTAAAGATGTTTATTTAAAATCACCATGGAAAAGGGAAAAAAAGTCTATTCAGAGGTCTATTTGAAGAATAAACTTTACATGTGTAACATATGACCAGGAAGCATGTAATTTCATACCACATCAATACATCTTGGATCAAATTGTTCTTACAGAAAACCGAGAAATCTCAACAAGCCAAAAGAGAAACCTCTTCCTTATTCTCTGCAACAATCTAATTTCAAATATATGAGAGTGAACCAAAACTGAGCTAAGTAATGTTCAAGTCAAAGAGAATTGTATTACAGGATGAAGAGAAATGCAACCTTTTATTTCCCTATCATTTCTAAGCCAACCTTGTTGATTACACAATTTATGAGGCACAAATTAAATTTATTTGCTCATCTTCTCCTTTCTGGGTGGCAAAGACTCTGCTGATACAATGGCCAGAAATGTTCAGGGGTGTGTCTTTTTCTCACTTTCACCTTAAGAATTGAACTTCCTGATCTGGAGAGGAAAGGGAGGTGAGGGGATTAGGGTAGCACAGAAAATCTTTCATTGCAAGTCTACACCTTGTAGACTTTTAAGGGATTGTCACCAGAGACAATAATAACTGATTTTGCATTTTTTCTTGCTATGGGCATAAGTATTAAGTAAGCTTGCTCCTAAATGAAACTGTTAATTGATCAATGGGACACTAAGAAATTATCTTAAAGGGAAATTCAGTGTATAAGATTGTGGAATTGGTTTTATTCTATCATGTGTATTTTTACTTCCTTACTGCATTTATTTTTTTAGCTTGCCCACTTTGATGATTTGGGGAAAAGAGGAAAAGGAACAGTACTAGGTCATTGCCTTCATTTTACAAATCCTGACAAGGTTTAGTATTCCTTCCCTGATGGTCCAAGGTACACCCTTACATCTCTCAGGGCAAAAATCTGCAACTCTTATGGCCAGAAAAGTTTATTTTAAAATTACTACTTCAAAATGTATAGTTTGTTTTCTTAACAAAGTATGTGATATAGTTTAGGGTCCTTTAAATCCCTGTGTACACAATGTGCCAACTGTAAAGATTTTCATATTCCACTTTTTAATCAGCCCTCTAGGTTTGAAAAATGGTTTGCATAACATGGGTGTTAATCTTAAGTAACAGGGCCAAACAAGATCCTTGTACCTTCTCCCCCCCCCCCCCCAAAAAGGCAGTTTGACTTAACTACAGCAACTATGATTGTGTATTTTAGGCTAATTTTTATAACTTGGAATTCCAGATTGAAAAACCTAATATCCAAGGACTGAAAGATTGCCAACTGCAGGCTTGACTCTAATAGCACTCTGTAAGGAATGCACTGAGCCTTATACCAAGGAGTAACAGGCTGAGATTTGAGAAAGGACTGAGTATCTTAAAGGAATTCATCATGGCTTTATTAAGTAATTTCACATTCAACACAATTCCCCTACAAAAATATAGGTATCCCTTAAACACTTAGCAAATTAGGTGCTATCATGCTATAAAAGCAATATAAGTATTCATGGGGAAAGGAACACAGAAAGAAATAATATCACCCACCTCAATTTGGCCATAAGATGTTAGGGGTATGAGGGAGGAAGTAAATACAGCACCAAAGGACTCCCAAAAGGTGGGTTGTCAATCTCAGGACCAACACTAATGGGGCATCCATTTAAGCAGGAATGAACTGCTAAAAAAAAACAAAACAACAAAAAAACCCCAGAAAAAACAGTTGATACTTCTTAAGAAGTAGCATGTGAGTTAGGACAGTTGACCTAACCAGGTTGTTCTTTGAAAGGCTTTTCTTTTTTAAGTTGTTTTGGTTGAACAAAGACCTAGAACCGTTATAAGCAGTAATGTAAGTATGGGGAAAAGACTATTAATAATGGGACATACTGGAAATATCCATGAAAGAGAATAGTAATACACGTTTACTGAGTTGAATTGAGACCAGAAAACTAGATCATTTGACATAATGTGGATTGCCTCTGTCTTTGTTACTTGACATGTAGAAACCTATATGTACTTACTTAATATCTTTCCTTAGCCTTCCCTAATAGCTTCCTTGGTTTATGACCCTTCAGACTTACCTCCATTAGCTAGTAGCAAAGCCAGAGAGTGTTCCAGGCCATCTTCTTGAATGTTCCACAAGTTTTTCCTAGATCAATTATACTGTCTCCTAAGCATACAAAGGAAAGACTCTGCATAGGATGTATTTCTCCCTGCCCACCTCTTTGAGACAAAAGAGAGATTTGGAACCCTGTTGATCAGACTAGCCCTACCTTCACAGCCTCAAAGTATGGGAATGCACAGATTTAGTAAGCTTAGTATTCATTGGCCTTATTAGGACTGGGCAAGTGTCAGACTAAGGAGGATGATGGAAGAAGCAGCCAATTACTTTTAGGTTGACAACAGGCTTCCCTCTGAATAGGGGGACTGGACAGTAATGGTGTTAGTATGCATGTCCTGCTTCTCCAGATCACACCAAACTTGAGGATTCACCCTACAAGAAGCATTTTAAACAGAACTGCCATTAGCTGGCTGAAGCTGGGGGGGGGGGGGGGGGTCTTCAGCCTCATCCCCTCAGGGCATCTGAATAACTGTTAACTCAGTTACTTCCTTTGCATCTCACTATTAGGCTACCCAGTCTAGGCACTAGGGAATAGGTTTATTGTAGAATCATTGGTCATGCCATTTCCTGAGTATAGTAGAAACTATACTATTGCCTTTCCTAGCTTTCTTCCTAAGAATTCCCTAGCCCTCTTCTTTTTATTGTATATTTCCTTTTATATTTTGCAACAAATCCTGAAATTTCTTCCTGGGAATCTTCTCTCTTCTCTAGGACTTTCTCTCTTTTCCCTTAATGTTTTTTCAATGAGTTCATCACTTTTCAATAGTTATCAGTCTTTCAGTCTCTTACTTTGCATAAATCTGAAATCATTCATGGCCCTCCCCTGTCTCTTCTTTCACCTTTGTCTCCACTTTAAACTTCCTTCCTGGTTTGTTTGTTTTTGTTAGTTAGCTATAGCTTTTTTTCTCCCCATCTCCCAAATTGTCTATCGAGAAGATTTTCCCAGATGAGATATGCTGCTGGCATATTGACAGGTTTACCTATATTGTCCTTTGGGTCCAAAGATTTTCCAGTGTCATGATATATCCATGCTTAGCCAGCAAATATCTTTGCTAATAGCTGATGTCATACTGTGCAACAACTTGACCAAGTAGGGTAACAATTGGTTAACAAATTAAGCCAAAGCCAAATTAGGACTAAGGTTAATATACAGAGCAGAAACCGGGGCAAACTAACATTCGTTGGAATCTCATCAATAAGAATTAAGCAGAATCAAATTTTGGTAACTAGTGAGGATTTAGATATTTTCCTACTTGGGACAAGCAGTCAAGCTGACAGTAGTCTTATCTAATTGAGTTAAATGTGCCTAATGTTGTATAGGAATTTGATCAGTGATTTAGTTTATCTCTTTCATATCTCTGGCATCATCTATCTTGAAAATGTTCCAGATCTGAAATAGAGCTAAAGTTTTAAGATTTGTGAAACTCTCACTACTCTTGTATTTAAGATGCTCACACCCAGTCTACATGAATACCCTTGTGACATTTGGAGAAAAATGTCTAGAAAAACCCGGACCTGAGATGGGAGACCCTGAGAGATACTATTTGAAATCTCTCATAAGTTCAGATCTCCTGATTACCTGAAAGTGAGGTTTAACCATTCTTATGCCTGAGTTATCCGCCAGAAGGTGGGTAGGCTCTGAACCATCAATTTTATGAAAAAGCTACATTTTTTTTTTCAGTAATCCTCTCATTCTCTCTGCCTTCCTCAACTTATTCTTCCATTCATGGAACATATCAGACTTAGAGAATGTATAGTCCTTTCCATTGCCTTTGTTTTATTGTTGGAATTTATTTTAATAAAATACCCAGAGTTCCCAGTAGAGGATTTGTAAACACCTGTAAGCCAGTTCATTTCCTTACTTGGTCATTGCGTAGTGAGAAACACAACCTCCCCAAGAGCCAGAAACCAAATTTAAATAACTGGGGTTCAAATTAGTCTATCCAAGGTCATTTAGGAATCTTTAGCATCATCAGCTAGACTTTAGCTGAGTCCTGTGTTCTAGATGTGGTGCCCTTGTCATAGGATAGTCTGTGGCAGAATGAAAATGATGGCAAGGTCTGCATAATAAGACTAGGCGTCTTCAGTTTTATTTGTCGTACATACTCATGGTACATTAGTTCATGGGATTAACTTGGTGCTTCTTATAAACTCAGGATATCTGGTTCAACGGGTTCTTCCAGCGACCAAATGGACCATCTGTGAATAATGTCTAGGGAAGAAGCATAGACGTTATGTGGACATTCTGCACGTCTACACTAATGCCTAGAGTGCTCCCTCCCTCGCGATTGCTTCCGACAGGGTGGTCTGTAGACTTGCTCATGAGTCCGAATTAGGTCTTGAAGACTCTTCTTCCAGCAAATAGGCGGCATCTGGGGACCATTTCATCTGAAGAGGATAAGACTGCCAGAAGTATGGGCAATGCCCTACATCTTCAGAATTGGCATCTTTTGCTTAAGAACTTTGTTTGGGCTGAGATACCGCAATCAGAGTTTTAGGGTATCCTCATCTTGGTTAGTGTCTGGGGCATTTGAAGTTTGATTTGTCTTCCAAATTATTTTCTTCTCCATCTCTTAGCTCCTCATCCCCACAATATAGTAAACACAGGAGTGGTCCTTTTCCAACATGAAATAGAAGGTTTACTTGAGTGTTTATCATCTTTAAGAATGACTATGTCTTGGGGGCAGCTAGGTGGCGCAGTGGATAGGGCTCTGGCTTTGGAGTCAGGAGGATCTGAGTTCAAATCTGGCCTCAGACACATAACACTTACTAACTGTGTGGCCCTGGGCAAGTCACTTAACCTTATGATGTTTCAAGAAAAACCCATGTGAGTGTGCATTCCTTCTTCAAAAATGAAATACTTGAAGTGCTGCTTCATCAGTTATGGTCTTCTTATCAGACAGCTCTCAGCTTTTGCTTTTCATAGTACAGAGACAGCAAGAAAATAATTGATCCATTTTCAGTGGCTAGATTTATCAAGCATTTCATATAGATTCATCACACTCCAAGGATATTTTCTCTGGTCCCATAGGACATCTGTGGTTATTAGCTCACTGGCTAATGCTTCCTTTGAACCTTCCTGTACTTGAGAAATGAAGTTTATAATGTAGAAGATCTGGTTATGTGACTTCATCCTGAATTGAGCTAATGTCAAGTCTGAGAAGCTGTTATACCTTTCTATGAGATATAAGTAGGCATTTCAAGTCTCTCCTAGATTCCTTCCTAAAGTCAGAATATAATTCCTTCTCATTCTCTTACTCATCAATCTTTTCCAAACCACTGGCCTATCCCAGAGCACATGTTCCACTTACCCCATAATCATATACTCTTTAAAGCCAAGCTTACAGTACTCTATTAACTCATTTCTGATTCCCAGAGATTATTTATTGGAGTCTGCTATCCATTTCACCAAAGTGAGTTATTCTTTGACAAATGTGAATAATATTTAATTTTACCACCAGACCCTTGACTTTTAGTGCAAGGGTGAGAGACATTACCAAAGGAGTATACTGGAATAATACAGTCTCATAATTTTAGGGCTAGGAAGAATTTTTAGCTAATTGAGATTTTGGAGATAGAATTAACACAGGTGTGGATTAACGGTGGTATGAATAATCAATAGGCAGGAAATTTCAATATTCCCATATCATTTCGGATATCCGCAAGATTCTTGATGATTCTGGTTACATTTTTTAAAAAAAATAAACATCATTTTTTGCACCCTGCCATCAGATTGTCACCATGGTCATCTCTTGTCTGATAGCAGTTATTCCCTGACTGGCAGTTTCCCAGTACTTATGACCCTAGAAGGATTATTGGGTATGATATTTTCCTACCACCCACTTATGGTATTTGATTTATGGTCCCAATTGGTTGCCAGCCCTTTTATTTTTTTTCATTTTGTGAAAAATTCCTTTTTTGTCGCATTATTCTTGTAAAAATAGGTACATAAATGATCATCTGTTTTGTATGATCTGGAGTAGTTTTGGGTTTTTTTTTTTAATAATGGAGGCTACTTATTAGCTTTCTGAAGGAAGATCTACTATGACAGGTCTGCACAATTTTCTTCCTATCTCTACAAACCCAAGAACATTGTGTTCTTCCTTTCCTTTTTGTTAGATACAGCAAGGGAATGATGCTGTGCTCGCTACCTTCCCCCACTTTCATCATATTGCCCATCCTCAGACACACATGTTCCTTTCCAAATGTTCTCCATAGGATTAATGGTGCCCTGTTTATATAGTGCATTTAGTGTCAGGAAAGTTACTGTGGCCCTGCTCTTCATCCTCTCTACTCTGTCTTTGCTCTTCAGGATGTAGATAGTTGAGGAAAATTATTACTTGGGTGCCCTCTAGGGTTAAGTTTAAGGCTCCCTGATTTGTGCTGTGTCAGTGACCTAAATGGAAATGACCAGACCTTGAGGAAGGGCTTCCCTGTAGCACCCATACATGGAGATCCAACACCTAGTAGTTTTCCCTTCAGGAAATTCAGGTTACCAGTTAGTAGACTCTATTTCTCTCCCTCGATAGAGTACTTTGTTCTAAGAACATATTTAGAAAGCAAGTCCTTTTGATTAAGCTAATTTATAAATGCCTCTTCTACAGGTGCTTTTTAGAGCAGGCAAAGAAGTTGAACATTGTACCAAAGTAGGTATGTTTAGAAGAATTTTGACACCTAGTCTAGGTTGTATCCATATATTGATAATGTAGTTCAGATACTACTTCTAGAGTCCCTATGTAAACCTATTTTAATTTATTATCACTGCATCACTTTTATTTGCTATTCACTTTTCTACATGGGAGCTGAATGTGACCTATTTCCAAGTTGGAATAGCGTTTTGTTCTAAGACAAAAGTAAAAAAAAAAAAAACAATGGAAAGTGACTAAATTTGAATATTTAACTCTTTCTATGGCATATTCTCAGGGCAGTGGAATAGAGGGTATGTGAATGGTAATGATGGCTTGCTGTTGTATCAGCTGGTGGGTCATCCCATTCTTTAGACATGTCTAAAAATTTTGAAATACTGTGTTTACGTAGAGTTATTTTGTAGACTAAGCAGTTAGAAATTAGAGATGGAAGCATGCTGCTGGCCATAATTTGATATTTGGGCCAATATGCTCCCTTTGGTAAGTCTTTTTGTTAGTTTCATTTGTAAAAATCCGAAAAGGTGGTGCTCCTACTGCTTCCTATTTATTAGAAGACTACCTTGGACATTTTTTCATTCTGTTCTTAATTTTCCTTCACTTTTGTCATACAACTCCCAAATTCTTCTCCCTTCCCCACCCCCAGGCAAATAAGCCTTTAAAATATTTGTTATACATTCCCACTTCTTTTCTTGCAGTTGAATTGGCCATGATTATGGACCGTCTTTATGGGGGCGTCTGCTATGCTGGCATTGATACAGACCCAGAGCTGAAGTACCCAAAAGGCGCTGGCCGAGTGGCTTTCTCCAATCAGCAGAGTTACATTGCCGCAATCAGTGCACGGTTTGTGCAGCTCCAACACAACGACATTGACAAACGGGTAAGCAGTGTTGGGGAGTGGATGGGTTGCAGAAATAACATTGAACAACACAGCAAACTGGAGAGGAAAACAGCTTATGGTGATGCATAGACACTACATGGTGAGAACATATAAGGTGACATAAACCTGCCCAAAGAAGGAATTGAGTACCTTTCACATGTACTGGTTACACTTTAGGGTCCTACTCAGATGCCTCAGGGGTATGAACTTCTGTGAGTAGTGTTTATGATAAGTCACATTTTATATGAGCTACTTTATTATAAAAAAAAAAAAAGCACCATGTATCTGTTATCTCATTTGATCCTCACAACTCCCAAGGGAGAAAGAATGAGTGATAATATCTCCATTTTTTAGGTAATAAAATTGAGACTCAGAGTGGAAAGAGTGCTGGACCCAGGTCAGGAAGATCTCAATTCATATCTGACCTCAAGACTCTTACTAGTTGTGTGACCCTGGGAAAGTCAACTTTGTGTGCCTCAGTTTCCTTATCTATGAAATGGGGAAAATAATAGCTCTTACCTTACAGGACTGTTGTGAAGATGATAGCCTCTGTGACTACTTCTTATTAAAAATGTTACTTTTAGGGTGGCTTTTCAGAGTCATTGAGAGGGAAGCCAACGCCTCTTAGGTTAGTTAGGCCTTGGTTTCCCACTCTGTAAAATGAGCAGATTAGATTAAATAGTCTGAGATCCATTCTAGCCTTAACATGCTGAAAGTTTTCGACTCTCTGACTTGCTTTGTAAACCTGAAAGTGCTATAGAAATCATAGTTACTTAGTGGGAGTTACTTGGAGACTCAAATCTGTGCACAGCAGGTGAGAGAACTAGATATCTAACTCTACTAAGAGTGACTTGACATCGATCACCCAGTGAAAAGAGGACTGGATCATACTTCTCCACCCAGTTTTACTGTAAAACATGCAAAAAAACTCCAAACTTTCAGCTAGGTGGTACAATGGATAGAGCGCCAGCCTTGGAGTCAGGAGGACCTGGGTTCAAATCTGACACTTACTACTTGTGTGACCCTGGGCAAGTCACTTAACCCTGATTGCCTCACCAAAAAGCAAAAAAATTAAAATTAAATTAAAAAAAAACCTTAAAAAAATCCTTTACCTGATAGGATGTCTAATCATGTCTATATCTCTACAAATGAAGAATGATGGGTGGGAGGTTTTTTTTTTTCACTGTCCAGATAACCTACTAATTAGAGATTCTAGTGCCAAGTGCAATATTTCATATGTAATCATGTTTTATAAATTGTTTCAATTAAAACATTTATTGCACATCTCCTATACTCAGAGTATTTTGCTACAGAGAAAGTCTAGGCATGACTCAGTCCCTGCCTTCCTGGATCTTATGGTCAAGTAGGATATGACATGTTGTTGACAAATAGCTTCCACCATTTTCCGCTCGACCTATGATTTCATTGGAGTTCAACAACAGAACTTGACCCAAGGTCTTTCCACTTTGAAGTCTGGATCTCTTTTCCAATACTGCACTAACCAAAAATACTGTTAAGTGTATTAGAAAAGGGCAAAGCAGAGTGATATGTGAGGTTCAAGGGGAAGATGGGGGCAGGGAGGTGGAATCACATCAAAGCATTTCACAGATGAGGAGGTATTTGAGTTGCACTTTAAGGGACGGGTATGAAGAGAGGATGAAGATGAGGATGAAGAGAGAAAATGATGGAAGAGAGGAATGGGTAAATGCCAAAAAAAAATATGGCACAGTGGGAAGAGCATTGCTTTGGAGTCAGAGGACTTGAGTTCTAATTCTGTCACTGTTCAACTCAAGTGGTCCTGATCCTACCAGTTGTTCTCAGCCCTGCACAAAAATTACTTCATATATTTATTGTTTTTACTTGTACGTGATGTTCCTTCTCCTCTCTTTTCCCTTGCCTTATATACCCTTGAAAGGCAAAATTGTTTCAGTTTTGTCCTGGGATCTCCAGCACTCATCATTGTGCCTGACACATACTTAAGAAAGACTTACTGAATCCAGTCTCTGCTTTATTAGATCTTGGGAACAAAAGTGTCAGCTGTGTCATTTTCTAGTTCTCTTGTGCTCACATTATTAGTATTATCTTCAAGAATTTTTGCAGGAATCTCTTTAAACCATTTGCCAATTTTTTGAGAATTAGTTTAGTCAAAACTAGATCATGTGATCCACAAATCCTCTTAACGGGGCACACACAAACCGCAATGTGTTACAACATTCTAAAAGCAAACAAATTAGGACACTGCCACCAACCCCTGTCTGTTCTGGAACTCTCCTTCCTCAGCATAGTACATGTACCCTGTGTTACATGTGATACGTGATATATAGGCAGAGAAGGCACTACTCTGAATCCCTATGTTAAATATTAATGAAATTTCTTTTATTTTTTAAGCAAAAATAAGTGCAAATGGAAATTTTAACATTTTCTTTCCATGTCGTCATGGTGGGTCATCTTGCATACCCCCTTGCATGTGTATACCCCACTTAGAAGGCTGCAGGTCTGATAGTTCCCCTTGGATGTACCAATATCTCCATTTTCACTCCATCTCAGCCACCCAGAGGGATGGTGCGATTCTTGGTATGTCACCCATGACTCTGCCATCTCTATACCCCAGAACTCGGAAATTCCTCGTTCTGACTAAAGCCTACTATTCTTCAATCTCTCCTGTTGCTTCATCCCCCCTAAACCTCGTCTTTGTCCTCACAGTTACCAATTGGCCCTCTGCTCTTCCCCGTTCTCACAGTCTATCACACTTGCCTTGGCCTCCCTTCCCTAACTTCACAGTCTTGACCATGTGGCTGGTTTCTTCAACCATACTCGTATCGGTTACCTTGCCTCCCTTTCCCCTTTGTCCTCACCCTTTATCAGACTTCAATTCTGGACAACCCCTACCAATTACCTCCAGTTTCTACTCACCTGTGCTCATTATTCCTGGAGAAAGTTATTTAACTATAATGTCTGGGTTCCCTACAACTTTATCTTATCTAACCCTGCCTGGGCCCTCCATTCTGTACAGCATTCTTTTTATCCTTCCACAATAGTTATTAGAACATTTCCCTTCTCCTCGGACTTCTGCTACCTCTTCCCTTTCAACAGAAAACCTTGCCTCCTACTTAGAAAATGAAGGCTATCCATCAATAGTTCTCTGTTCTTCCCCACACCATCTCATCCCTTCCCTTCTCCTTTTTTCTCTGATGACTAGATGGCTTTTATTTTTTATTTTTTATTTTTTGCCACATCTAACCACTGTACATATGTCTTTGATCAATTCCCCTATCTCCTCTGGTAGCTTTCCCCCTCAATCATCTTCTCTCTTTTTTTTATAGGTTCTTCTTGTCCATTCTTATTCCTGGTAATCTCATGAGCTTCCATGGGTTCCTTATCCATGGTGATTCCATGGGTTCATTTTTAGCATCTCCTTGGCAGTCACTCCCAAATGTATCTATCCAGCTTTAATCTCTCTCCTGAATTTCCGTCCCACATTATCCATTGCCTGCTGCACATCTTTATCTGGGTGTGCTATAGGCTTATCTCCCTTAATTTCTATGTCTTAGCAGTTGCCAAGTCTTACTGATTTTATCTCCTTTAACCGTCCTCTTCTCTCTGCTCACCTAATCCGCCGTCTCATCTGGACTCTTACAGTAGCCCTGTAACTGGTCTCCTTGACTCTAGTCTCTGCCCCCTCCCCTCAGTTCATCCACACAACTGCCATGAATTCCTAAAACACAGATTTAACCTTGTTTCCCCCTCATTTACAAATCTTTCAGTGATTCTCTTTTCACTCTAGGGTAATACACAAACTCCTCAGCTTGCACTGAAAACTCTCCACAGTCTGTTTCCCACCTACATTTCTAGTTTTAGTTCGTTTTCTTTTCCTTCACACACTCCATGTTCTAGTCCAGCTGACTTGCCAGCTGTTTGCTGAATATGGCATTGTATCTCGAGCCTCCTTGCCTTTGTATCAAGTGGTATAGAATGTATCCAGGTCTAGAATGTGCTGCTTCCTAAACTCTATGTCATCATCAAAGCCCTAGATTCCTTCAAAGCATAGCTCAGTTGTTGCATGGGCCCTTTCTTGATTCCTGCTCTCATCCCGCTGCCATTTTGAAAGCATTCACCTCTACAGATTATTTGGTTTTGCTTTTTATAAACTTTATATTTTCCCGCTTGTGCATTTGGGCCATAGATTACAAGCTCCTTGAGGTTGGTAATGTTTTCTTTTTTCTTTTTGTTTTCCTATTGCCTAGTATATTGCCTTGGTCTTGGTAGATCATTCACAGCTTGAATTGAATGTCCCTCTGTCCCCTCAAACTTGTCTGAAACAGAACCCTTTTCCTTCCACGTTCTTTTCCCCTAGGTTACTCCCTTTCCCAGTTTACCCATTTCAGTCAGTAGTACCCTAGTTCTCCCAGGCTCTCAATACTGGAGTCAATTCTTCCTCCTCATTCCCTTTTGTCCCTTAAGACCCAACCAGTCACTGAGTTTTGTGATTTCTTCCTTTGAGACATTGCCTGTAACTGTCCCTTCATTTCAATTCCCACTGGGGTCGAGCCAGTCTAGGCATGTGGTGTAGTGGAAAGTTCTAACTTGAGAGAATCTGGACAATTGGTCTGAATCCCAGCTTTGCAGCTTGCTCTCTTTGTGACCAGGGGCCAAGTCAGGGACCCGTAGAGTCCCTTCTGGCCACATATTTTTCAGTCTCCTACCTGGATAACTGCAGTTTCTCTGTACTTCTCCCTACACTGCCCAGTACTGAAAGGTTAGTTGTCCTTTGTCATTCTCCTGCTCGGAAACCTTTAGTGACCCCCTATTGCCCTGAGGTTCAAGGTGAAATTTTTCACAGAATCACAGACTTGGAGTTAGAACTACCATCCATTCCAACTTCTGCCTCAGTGGTCATCACCTATAAAACACCCTCACTGCCTCCTGAGAGAGTCCTTTCCTCTGCTGATTACTTCTGATGACTAGTTTTCCTAACGTTAAACCTCAGTTGACCTCCCTTC